GCATGTCGGAGTGAGAGAGGGCGTATTGTCTTTGGTAAGAAAATGGCGTACTGCACTTGGAAAAATCGTTGGTGCTTTCTTTATGATGATTGAGAGCATGTTAGGGGTGTCATGCCTGAGCGACGTGTTCTTACTCACTTCCAAACTGTAGGTTGTAATGTATTCATTGTTCGCATTGTTTGCTATTTGTTGTAGTTTCTTCTTGCGTCTAACATTTTCCTTTATGCAGTAACTCGAGGCAACATCAAATTGTCTGGACGGGAATTGGTTGATGTAGAGAAGGTGTTAAGGGTGCCTAAGGAGGATAGACATTTGGGCAAGCCACGACCTTTGTTTCGAAAGTAAGGTTTCTAACCCCTAGTGTCGGAGTGCTAGAGACGAGCAAGTAAGTTGTATCCTTCATTTCGCCCCCTCTTTCTTTTACAAAGTTGCATTCTTTACTTTGATTTTTCTTGTTCAATAGAGAAAGTGAGCAAGAAAAGGGGGACTAGCACCAATAAAGGGAAATCACCCATGTTAGTTTCTGTAGATGACATTTTGTTTCATAAGGGAGCTCGTAAACACTGAGTGAGGCCAGCCCCTAGACCTAAGTTACAAGAGGAGGTCCTCAAGATCACTGCCTCAAAAAGAGCTGAAGCTGAGGCTATCGGGTATGCTGCTGCCATAATTGCAGGGGAGGAGAGACGATTGTTGCCTCCTCTTCCTACCATCGAGCCCATCTTTCCTCCAACCATGAAGTTCACTGACCAAGAAGGTGACCCTCGCTCTAGCCATAAGAAGAAGTATAAGGAAGAGGTTGGCAACATCCATTGGAAGGATTTGAAGGTTGCCATGCAGCCAAGTAGTTTTAGGTATGTCAATAATTGCTTGGCAGGACATCGATCCACTGTTGACGAGCTTGGCGAGCTGCTCGATGAGAAAGAATCAGATCGTGACCGGATGATGATGCTATCTTCTTATGTAAGTGTTATTCTGTCATTTCTTTATTTTCTTCCCTCTTTTTCTTGGTAGTGACAATCATCTTGTCATGTAGGTCATGACTGAGTATGACGACAAATTACGAGAGGTCGAGCGGTACAAGGCAAAGTTTAAAGAGAATAACCAGTTTGTGAATGATGCTAGAAAAACGAGCAAAGCTTTGGCTGAGGCCATCCGCCTCAAAAATCAACACTTTGAGAGTTTGAAGAGGCGAAATGGTGAGAACGTGAGGCTCAAGAAACAACTGAAGGGGACTAAGAAACAGTTGGAGACTACTATCCTCGAAGTTTCCAAGGTGAAAGGGGAGTTGGATAGTGCCTTGGTTGAAGTTTCTGAGCTAAAGAGGAGTATCCCAACTGAGAGGGACGCTGCCGTGTAGGAGTTCTTAGGTTCCTAGGCCTTTCAAGATGCTTTTAAACCTCACTGCATCCGGACGGCTAATTTTGAGAAAAGGAAATGGATGGCCGTCCTTAAGCGTTATGATAATGGAAGCATTACCCAAAAGTACTGTGATGAGATGGATGAGTACCGATAAAGAGGTGAAGCTTTCATCCTCGCAGTGGATCCTAGTAGTAAAGATGACTCTGATAATGAGGCTAGTGTCGATGAGCAGTCTCAGGAGAGTGAGGATGGTTCTGGAGATATCGAGGATGGTGGCGATGGCGATGTGGTTGAAACGCAGAGTGATATTGTCAGGGGTTCGGCCTCAGATGAGGATGACTCATAGTGCCCTTTTTTTTTTGCATGTATTTTGAATATACTAGTTTGTTGTTTATGTGGCATGTGCCATGTACTTTGGATGTACTAGTTTATTGTTTGTCTGGCATGTGCCATGTTATAAGGCTGAGGGTTTTTTGTTTGTGTATGTTTGCAACCTTGTACTGTGCGCTTTGATGTTATCTGCCAAGTATTTGTACTATCATTGATGAATGTTTGGTTATGTTTGAATAGATCCCGTGTTTGAATATAAGTCATGTTGACATATATATAGACTTTATTTCATGTTGTAAGCATTCGTGTTGAAGCTTCAAACCTAAGCGTTTCAGTGATAGGGATGTAAGGGAGTTAGGATCAGGTTGTCTAAATCACCTCTTTATTGAATTGATGCCAAATGACCTTCATTACATAGGATGCCGAATGGCCGTAGCTCAACACTTGTATAGTGTGAGTCTACTTGTAATAGTACTTCAAGTGATCAGCGTTCCATGGATGGCCAAGGGTCTTGCCATCGGAGCTCTTGAGCTTGTAAGAACCAGGGCGACTGATGCCAATAACTTCAAACGGTCCATCTCAATTTGGGCTAAGCGTGCCTTCACTTGGGACTCTGTCGCAGAGTAGCCTTTTCTTCAATACCCAGTCCCCCACTTTGAAAGAGCAAGGTTTGACTCTTGAGTCATAGTAGTTAGAGATGCGCTGCTTGTAGGCGACATTCCTCAAGTGAACTTCGTTTCTGTATTCCTCGGCTAGATCCAAGTTGAGGGTGAGTTGTTTGTCATTTTCACTTTGCATGTAGTTCTAGACTCGGAACGTTGCTTGCTCAAGCTCAACTAGGACAACAGCCTCTGTACCAAAGGCAAGTGAGAATGAAGTTTCTCCTGTTGAAGTCCGATATGAAGTGTGGTATGACCAAAGAACTTGGGGTACAAATTATGGCCAACAACCTTTAGCCTTGTGCAAGTTGGTTTTCAAAGTGCGCTTGATTATTTTGTTGATGGCCTCAACTTGTCCGTTAGACTGGGGATGAGCTAGGGAGGCAAAACATAAGTTGATGTTGAATTTAGAACAGAACATCTTGAACTTCTTGTTGTTAAAATGTCGCCCATTGTCCATGACTATCGCATTAGGAATGCCAAATCTGCAAAGGATGTTCTTCCATACGAAGTCTTTTATTTTTGCCTCAGTAATGGTTGCCAAGGGTTCTACTTTGGCCCACTTTGTGAAGTAGTCAACTGCAACGATTGCATAGCGGACCTTGCCCTTTCCTGCAGGCAAGGGCTGATCATAGGAGTAAGAGGCTCGGGAGGAGAGTGATGAATAGTTGCGTTGCGTTGACGCTTATCACATGAGCGGGATATTCTGATGGCATCTTGGTGGAGTGTCGGCCAGTAATATCCTTGGCGAAAAGCCTTGTGCGTTAGGGATCGAGATCCTGCATGATCTCCGCAGACTCCTTCATGTATTTCTCGAAGGACAATTTCCGCTTCCGCAGGTGTGAGGCACCGTAAATATGGTAGGTTAAAACCTCCCTTGTAAAGTTGGTCATTAATGATTAGGTAGCGGGTAGACTTGTATCGAATCTGTTTAGCTTGGACTTTATCATTTGGGAGAATGCCATGAACAAGGAATTTATAAATTGGAGTGATCCAGCTATCCCCTTATTGCAAGTTGCATACTTCTGCGACCATGGTGCTTGGTGTTGCCAACAATTCGACATGAATTTTTCTCCCAATCTTGTCTTCCACTGCTGAGGTGAGGCAAACCAAAGTATCTGCATTACTATTTGCTGCTCGAGGGACTTAGGTGATCTGGTAGTGGAAGTGCTTGAGGAAAAGCTGCGTTTGCGCAAGATACGCTGCCATGGAGTTATCCTTAGAGTCAAAGTTGTTCGTGACCTGGTTAACCACCAATTGGGAGTCATTGAAGATATTAATTTGTTTAACTCCAAGATGTTTGGCCAAACGTAAGTTTGCTAAAAGGGCCTCATACTCGGCTTCATTGTTTGATGCCTTGAATTTGAAGCGGAGAGCATACTCTATTGCCATTTTGTAGGGGGTAGTCAGGACTAGTCCTGCTCCACAACCCTGTTGGTTGGATGAGCCATCAACATATAGAGTCCATACTAGGAGTGTTGGTTTTACTTTCCGGGTTTCCAGGGATGATGAAGCCGCTGCCTCAGGTGTAGGAGAAATGTCAACGGGATAAGTGAATTCGGCAATGAAATCTGCAACTACTTGGCTCTTCTCAGCTAGCTTTGGGTGGTAGAAGATGTCAAACTCTCCCAGTGTTATGGCCCATTTGATCATTCGCCCCGAAGTGTCAAGACTCTAAAGTATTTGTCGAAGGGGGTGATTGGTAAGCACGATGATGGAGTGTGCTTGAAAGTAGGGGCGAAGTTTCAGAGTAGACATGACTAATGCTAGAGCTAATTTCTCAATGTTGGAGTATCGTGTCTCCACATCTTGTAGAGCTTTGCTAGCGTAGTGGACAGGTTGTTCGATACTACCATCCTTACGAATGAGGACTGAACTAACTGCTGAAGTTGAGACAGATAGATAGACAATTAGGGTGTCGCCAACTTCAGGTTTGGAAAGCAGAAGGGCTTTACTCATGTACTTCTTGAGGTTCTTAAATGCTTCGGCACATTCATCGGTCCACGTAATGTACTTCTTACTTCCCTTAAGTGCTTTGAAAAAGGGAGCGCATTTGTCTGTGGCCTTAGAGATGAACCTGGTCAAGGCTGCCACCTTGCCAGTAAGGCTCTGGATGTCTTTTGAGGTTACTGGTTCTTTCGTGTCCATGATTGCTTTGATCTTCTCGGGGTTAGCTTCAATGCCTCGTTGGCTAATCATAAAGCCTAAGAATTTTCCAGAGCCCACATCGAAAACGCATTTGTTGGGGTTCAACCTCATTCGATACTTCTTCAGGATGGAGAAAGTTTCAAACAAGTTGGCAATGTGTTGGTCAGCATGTTTGCTTTTGACTAACATATCATCAACATAAACTTCCATGATTTTCCCAATCTGTTCAGCGAACATTGAATTGACTAATCTTTGATAAGTCGCCCCTGCATTCTTTAGGCCGAATGACATGACTTTATAGCAATATAGTCCTCTATAAGTGGTGAAGGCCGTGTGTTCTTGGTCCGAAGGGTTCATGAGGATTTGATTGTACCCTGAGTAAGCATCCATGAAGCTCAAGAGTTCACACCCTGCTGTAGAGTCTACAAGTCTATCAATGAGAGGAAGAGGAAAGCTATCATTCGGGCATCCTTTGTTTAAGTCGATGTAGTCGACACACATTCTTCACAAGATCTTTTGAAGCAAGAGACTTTCCTTGGTCGGATTTTTCTTAACAAGGACCACATTTGCTACCCACGTTGGATAATTGACATCACGGATGAAGCCTACACTTTTAAGTTTTTCAACTTCTGCCTTCATTGCTTCATATCGTTCAGCATCATATGATCTTCGCTTCTGTCTCACTGGCTTGGTCTTGGGATCAATACTCAAAGCAATGACAGATGATATCGAGAGAGATGCCTGGCATGTCCTCGTATGACCAGGCGAAGACTTCAATGTTATCTTGCAAAAAAGAGATCAATGCCAACCGAATGGGTGGTGACAAAGTGGTGCCAATTTTCACTATGCGATCTGGATAATCTTTTGAGATAAAGACCTTCTCCAACTCTTCAACAGGTTGTGCTTGCTGGGTGAAAGAGTCATCTCGAGGATCGTCGGGTTGATTGTTACCACCGTGAATATTCAAGTTGGCTTTGTCTGAGCTAGTCTTGATAACTTGGTCATGTATAGAAAGTGTTTCTTTGGGTACATGCAAGTGTTGTTGCTTGACTGAAGTGCTGTAACATGATCGTGCATTAAGTTGATATCCTCTGATGTAACCATTGCCATAGGGGGTTGGAAATTTCATCAACAACATATGCGTGGATACCATGGCCTTGAGATCATTAATGCCTGTGCGCCCAAGGATGACATTGTATGCCGTTGGGCAGTCGACCACCAAGAAGTTAATGGTGATTGTGGTTGTGTACGGGCCTGTACCGATGGTGAAGGGTAAATGTACGCTCCCTAAAGGTTGCACGACATCACCAGAGAAGCTTATCAGAGGAGAAACCGAGTGATCGAGCAAGTGTTCAGGTACATTAAGTGTTTTGAAAGCTTCAGCAAACATGATATTGACCGACGCCCCTGTGTCTACCAGGATTCGTCGTACATCAAAGTTGGCTAAGTAAGCCTCCACAATCAGTGGGTCGTTGTGAGGATAGATGATACCTCTTTCTTCCTTAGGGTAGAAACATATTGGATCCCAGTTAGGCTTTTGATACTTGCCTCCCCTGATGTCTTCCATGTGAAACACTTAGTGACCAGGCTTCAACGTTCGTTCATTGTTTTTCATGGCCCTGTTGGAAGATTCAGATATGGGTGTGTCACCACTTATGGAATATATCACATTCACTTGGCATTGGTTGCGGTTATCCCTTGGAGGGTGAAGGAGGAACTGGTTAATTTTTCCTTCATGTGCCAAAGCTTCAATATGATCATGGAGGGTGATACATTTCTCGCCATCATGGCCATTATACTCGTGGTAACCACAAAACATGCCTGTGTTCTTCGTGGACTTGAAATCTGGCTCCTTCGGCCTTGCCTTTGGTATCAAGTCAACTATACTGGGGTAAATGGCCGTGCATGTGGCATTCAAAGGTGTGTATGTCTCATACCTCGGGGTAGGACCATTCTTGACACGTGTTTAGCCTATTGCATTGACCGCCTGGGGGTGGGTATTATCGTGGTGATACCTTTGGTTATCGCAATAGTGCCCCTTACTCATTGTATTAAAGTGAGACTGGTGAGGATGGAAGTCTTTCCTCTTGCCCTGAGAATGATACGCATGTTGACTTGGCGAGGTATTAGGTAAGGCAGGGGGAAGCGTCGCTGCTGTTTGGAAGGTTGAGGTCTTATCATTCAGTTGGATTTGGCTTCCACTCCCCATTTGCTGATAAGTGATGGCTGTAGAGGTTTCCCTTGATCTGTCCTTGCCTCGGCAGAGGCATGGTTATAAGTCTGTGCCATTACCTAAGAGTAAGTCTTCCAAGTGTTAGCATTGATCATGTACTTGAAGAAATAGTCGCGTAGGCCTGCCATGAAGGCTTTAAGGGTGGTATTGTCATCTGCCTCAGCGCAGCGAGAATACTCATGGCTAAAGCGGCCGGCATACTTTCGTAGTGACTCATCTGGCTTCTGGCGAATAATGTACAAGTCATCTGCAAAATGCAAGCGATCTGTTTGGAAGATGTGTTGAGAGACAATAGTTTCCTCAGTTCCTCAAATGAGTCTATTGTCTCAGGTGGAAGAGAAGACATCGTTCTTCGTCAGTGTGCATCCGGTATGCCATGGTGGACTCAAAGAGGTTAAGGTGTTCAATCGGGTCCTCCTTTCCAGTGTAGAGTTGTAAGCCAAGCTTCTGCTTTGTCTTTGCTTAGAGGGAGGTGTCGAGGATCCTCCTTGTAAAAGGGCCAGGCCTAGGTTGGTTCCAGTGAGGTATTTCGGCCTGATGTTTGGCCTTCAACTTGTTTACTTCCTCAAGGAGTTGTAGGACAAGGGGGTTCTGAATGGAGTCACGTACTGCTGGATCCTTCTTCTGTAATTCTCCATCTCCTCTTGGAAGTAGGAAAGCTTGGTCAAGGGCATGAGATTTTTCTTTGGACTCACCGTACTGACTTCCAGGGCGAGCCTGTCGAAACGTCCCCGAGTCCCCTGTACCTTCATATTCCTCTAGGACATGTCGCTCATTCCCTAGATTGGCAATTGGCTTGGGGCATGAAAGAGGACCGAACCTTTCAGAAACCCTTGGATCATTGATCTTCGAGCTTATGTGGATGGGGTTTTCTCGACGTTGCCTTAGGAAGTCCCGATAGTCGCGATAAACGGCTTTTGATCCTTCTACTCCTTCTGTAAGAAGGTGCCTTCCTCCACTTCTCCTGCTTCGGGTTGAAGGAGTTGGGTCGAGAGAGGTCTCATGTTGATCAACACCTTGATGAGTAACTCGCTCCCCATTATAGATATCCATGTTGAAGGCAGGTGATCCCCCATGTTGAGGGGCACCCAGGTGGTGGTTGACTTCCCCGGGGGCGATGAGTTCGTGTGTTTGAGTATGCCTAGCTTCATGGAGCATGCCAAAGAGCTTCTCATACTGCTCCTGGAGGATCTCATTCTTTATCGCTATCTTGTTGTTCTGAGCCTCTAGCTCATCGACTTTAGCCTGAAGAGCAAACCTCTTTCGTTCCTTATTTCGTTGCTTTGCATTAAGTGCGAGGGGGGTGTCGTTTTGCGTGTTGTGGCTCCCTTCACTCCCCATGTTGGAGAGGGGTGCCTGGTCGAAGGAAAGTGTGCGAATGGTGGAAACTAGCTTGACAAAGCTGGAGAGAGTAGGAATAAGAGCGATTCCCACAGACGGCGCCAAATGTTGATGCACAAAATCGGCTAGGACTTTTGTATAACAGAAAGTGTGAAGTTTGTAACCTTCGCTAGGTTGCTCTGGTCATTAATGTGGATAAGTACGTAAATGAATAGAGACAGGGAAACAAACAACACAAGATGTACGTGGTTCACCCAGATTGGCTACGTCCACGGAGTAGAGGAGTTCTCATTAGTTGTGAAGGGTTTACACAAATACATAGGTTCAAACTCTCTTTTAGTGAGTTCTAGTGAATAGTTTAGTACAAATGACATTAGGGATTATTGTGGGAGAATAATCCCCTTTTATAGAAGAGAGTTTCTAGCTTTGTTTTAACATTGACACGTGTCGTGTTGTGATTGGCCTCTGATATCGACACGTGTCGCGCTATGATTGGCCTCTGATACCGACATGTGTCATGTTGTGATTGGCCTCTTGGTTGGAGGAAAAGTCTTGTGGATCCTTGACGGTATGCTGTTGACCAATGCTTAGTAGTTTCGAGATTGGTCAAGTATGGTACAAACATTATTCATTAAGAAATGAAATACCAGAGTTATTTCACATAAGGAACAATATGTTTGAGTTGGCAAATCGACCGGTTGGGATATAAGAAACAGGTCATTACCATCAATCCAGGGAGTTTAGTGGTATGCGAAAAGGCTGCTTGATGCAAACCAAATCTCCAAATTGTTTTCTCAAATTGCGCTTGGTATTTACTATTTACTCAAGTGGTAATTTACTCATGATTTGCTTGTATGATATATTATATCCATATTGGATCCAACGGTCAAACCTCCTCGCAAGGAACAGTCTTCGTGCTTGTCACATGCCATTCTTTGACAGAAAGATAGATACAAGTAAACGCCTGTGCTAACTCTAACACGGGGTAAGGTTCGAGTGGTTGATCGAAGAATGATTCTGCTTCCGCCAGTATTTTGAGGCTGCTTGGTCAACAAATACAGATGAGCTAACTCCAGTTCATGGGTTGCTGCGTTCCCTTCATAGTCTCACATTTTGTCATTCATTCAATAAGCTTTTGGCAAACATCTTCCTTTTTGTTGGTTAACAACAATTGGTGCCGCTTGAACTATCAAAAGGAACATCCCCATGGTAAACATCAAATCTGGTATACGAATTTCATATTCGCCCAATTAATTAGTCAGTAATATCATATAGACACTAACCGAATCTATAAACCTTTTCAAACCCTCTAATCTTTGCTTAAACATATATCATGCTGAAAATAATCACTTAAGCATTTCAAGCCCCAAAAAAATGTTCTACACCAGTTCAAATAAGCTTTTGGCAACCCTGCAAAATACACTACACCCCACCACGAGTACATCTTACTAGGGAGTAGAAACTAGGAAGACAATTTTTCCAAGTTCAAGTTCCTTAAGCCTTGATAAACATGAGATTAGAGAGTTGGACTTCATTTATCCCACTCATCCAAAAGTTGTGGAATTATTGCTTTTCACTTTTGATCTAGTGTGTTGTAATGAAGTTACAAACATGCCTCTATTTACAGGAGTTTGATCCGACAACTTCTTACATACAAGAAGAAAATATTTCACCTCTTTATGACATTCTCATCTAATGCATTTAATGACTTTCACCAAAGTCCACTTTGGTTAGCTTTTTTACACAAACACATGTGTGACATTCACACCACATTTCACAAGTGTCTCATTCTTTTCATTGGATAGCCCATACATAGGCTTAGGATCTTCCATATTTACAACAATGAGGACTAAAGTATTAACATATTACATAGAACCAAGAATGTGGACAGCCACTTTATAAATAACATTTACAACAATTGGTTATATTTTATAGAAATTAAAAAAATTTGCAATGTGGTGGGTCATTCAAATGCAGTCGAAATTAGAGAAAAATTTCTCAAAAATTTAAAAGTACAAAATCTACAATGGGTCCCTGCAAAATTTATGTAGTGAATCGATAAATTACATCGATATTTATTGATTTTCCTATATCTTGCAATATAGGGTAAGTTTTCATTTCACACTCTCCTTTCCGTGTTGATTCTTGATTTTTCGAATATTTCGATAAAAAATATCAACAACTCATGAATATTGTAAACACTGCATATTTGTGACAATGACATGCCCTTGCAATTTTTTTATTGAAAAAATATTTTATTTATAAAATTATCTTTATAAGATAGAACAAATTTCAAATGTGAATTTAGGAATTAAGGCTGCATTTTAAAAAATATATACTGCCTGAAAACAGTATCAATGTATAAGGATCGCAATACAATTTGAATCCTTCCTGACCAGTAGGCGGGAACAGCAGGGGCTTATGCAATAACAACAATATATATGGTTTATCAATGACAACCATTTTAACTAAGTCTTTTTGTATTAACAAATTAATTCAAAATTCACAACAAATTAATTAAGAACCAGAAAAATGTCCAATATTTTAATGTCTAGCTAAAGGGAATGTCCAAATGTTTGGTAAATTAGCTCTAATCCGTCAATAATCCAATCCGTTGATATATAATAATGGAACCGACACGCCAATATTATTTTGCGTAGCCCCAAAAATCCATCTCTCCACGCAACGAGAGGTGCTGGTGGTTAATTTGGTTGACAGAAGAGGGTGCATTTGCATCCGCATACCTGGCTGTTCCTTTGGACGACGAGTCTTTATCATTTCCAAGATCATGAGAAGTAACCAGGCGATCGAGCATAGCCCATTCACTTATCCCCTGGTGATCATGATTATTATCTCTTCCGCCAGCTGTTCCAGCTCCTCCTGCAACCATATTTGGTTGATGATCTGGTTCGCACGTGCCAACCTCTAACCCTGGTTCACACGGTTGGTAGCGGAGACCCTCACTACCACTTTCACAGTCTCTAGGGTTTGTC